ATGACATATAAGTATACGAAACCCAATGGGACGGGGGAGATAGGGTGGCGGAAGTCCATTTTTCTGGCCGACTGAAGCAAAGGTAGTCATACAACGAGTAAAGAATAAAAATAAAAATAAACATAAAAATAAAACTAAAAATAAAAATAAAAATAAAAATAAAGATAAAAAATCAATAAAACATAAGGTATAGTGAACATAGTTCAGCCTCCAAACGTCCCGGTTACGAGAAGTCTTTAAGAGATTCCAATCGCAAAGGCGACAAACGGTCATTCACAGAAAAAAGAGCATACTGAACCAAGGCGAACACAGCTGAGTCTTTATAGATCAACGTTGCGAGAAGCATTCGAAAGATTCCAAACATAAAGGCGACAACAGCCATTCATAGCAAAAAACAACTTGAACTCACGTGAACAAAGCCGAGTTCTCAAACATCTATATTGTGCGAAGCATTCGAAAGATTTCCATTCGCAAAAGCGAGAATGGTCATACGCGATGGAACAAAGAGCGAGAAGATTCTGACGAGGATCAGACCCACGCAGTTAGCCATCCATGGAGGAAGAACAAGAACACGAAGGAAAGGAAGAAGAGATGAGGAGGGCATAAAGCGCAAGCCCTTCGGTGAAAGCAATGATGAAGCCACGTAGACACAGTTCGAAAAAGCACAAGAAATCTTCCCTTAAAAGGAATTTTAGCATCAGAAAAAAATCACGACCGACTTCGCTCACTCCGTTGCCAATATCCGCATGCGCAACCACTTATTTAAGAGATGACGAACGAAAAAAAAGGGGGGGGGGGGGATCCTGCTTCAGCTCTATCCTCCAGGTCCGCTGTGCTCCTGTTTCCGCACGGACCATCTCGCCGAATCACCAGGAAGGGCATGGCAAGTCCCTAAAGCGCTTTTCTGCCCCATGCCATCTGGGGCGTCATCAGAGGGAGAACACATTCCACGATCTCTGGAAGGTGGGGAGGTTGAGGGAGGGTGTGGGGGGGCGTTCCGACGAGGGAATGGTGGACGGGGAGGGGGGGCGAAAGTTGGGGAGGAGAGGGGAAAGGGGAGGCATGGAGGGCAGAGTTCAGACGTAGGGGGGAAGGGGAGGGAATAGATGAAGTAGAGAAAGGAGAGGAAGGACAGGAAGGAGATAAAGGCTAAAAAAACGTGCGACGAAGTCCTCGTCGTCATCTCGGATTCCATTATCACTCTAGCGCGCTATGCACCCAAGTTGCCCGGCCAGCTGTCAATCGCGAGCAGAAAGGGCAGACAGCAGCATCCCGCAAGAAACAGAGCACTGAAACAGATCGTGCCGGCGATGAGCGCTGCAAAGCACCTAGACGAGGCCCGCAGCAGTACCTTCTCCGAGAGGCAGGCAGCGAAGAGTAGACCGGCTATGGCTAAGTTTGGCAGCACAGCAAGGAAGAGAAGCAGAGCCATGTGCGCGCTATGCACGGGCGAGAACGCGCAGCTGTCGGATATGGCGGGCGCAGCGGGGCACATCACGACGCTTTGCATAGTGTAAGACCGATTGTTCGATCAGGGGAGCAAAACGGAGGGTCTCACGCAAGGAGCGTTACCACTTCCTCCTCCTCGCGTTGCTCCTCCTCCTGGTCCCATTCGGCAAAGAAGTCCATGTCGAACCGGTCCGCACAAGGCTCCCGCTCAAACCGTATCGCACCGCGACCCTCCCACTGTCAGAGCTGATAATCGCACGGTGGATCGATGAATAGCCCCCTACGTGTCTAGTCCTAAAATAGTCCTAGTCCCATCCCGTATAGTACACTTGTGTTAAACCCTTCTCGTGCCATCCATCCGTTTAGTGCGTTAATCCGTCGATCGAGAAAATTCATGGTGTATTGAACAAAAGAAAAAAAGAAAGAAAAAAAAGAAGAAGAAAAAAAAAAAAAAA